GACCAGTATTCCTTTTCTTCAGTTGTATTTCCAGAGCTCACCTGAGCACGAAAGTACTTTCTCAAGAGTTGCTCAGATAGAAGCTGAAAAAACTCACGTTACTGTGAGCTCATTGTTCAGCCTGATGTATGAAATGGATTAAGTCTGGAGCTGGTTCTCTTGAAACACAAGTGCTTTATTTGGAAGATAAGAACTAGTTCAAATACTTGAAAGTTAAAAGCAAGTCTCATAGAGCTCTAATATTGTGTTAGACTTAGAAGATACCTTCGATTTAATTCTTAACAATATTAAGACTGAGTAATTACTACAAAATATATGGAGAAGTAATTTTCATCAGCTGGATGTTTGGAGCTTGTTTTGATTAGAACCTATTGTTCATAGCATTTTGGCTGTGTTTATGACTTAAAATGAAATCACTAGAAAAGAAAGAAATAGAATTAGTAAATAGATTTAAGCTTTGATTGTAATAATAGTGCTTAGACACAAATAATGTAATTTAGTCTTTTTTAAAGTTTCTAGAGCATAAAGAAAATACAGGACCAATATTTGTACCCTGATTAATTTTAGACTAGTGGCTTCAAGATAGAAAAGGATACTTTCTGTATGTTTTTAAAGTTATTACTCTTCAGCAGGCTTAAATTTGATCAGTCAAAAGTCTCTTAAATTGACATTAAAATGGAAATATCTCTATTTGGAAGAATGTCTTTGTAGAATTAAATATATCTTTTAAAAACTTAAGATTTCTTAAAACATAGAAACAGTCTTTTCTGAAATAGTGCAGAATCAACATATAGAATTTGGTGTTGTCATTTCAGAATTTTTCTATTACACATCAAGTAATTTTACCAATATTCAAAAACAGTGTTGGACATTTTTAGGAAACAATGATTATATACTAGTCTTTAAACACACAGCAAGTGAAGTTCAATTGAAATCTACTTCATGCAATTTGCAGGCTAGGCTGTATCCTAACAAATGTGGATAAAGTAAAGGTCCAGGGGTCGAAGTGTCTGAAACGCCAGGTCGGAGTCTAACTGCCTTTGAGAACCTGAGAGATGCTGACATGCTATGGCCCTAAGGGCACAGTTTAACGGTGGAGGCAGCACTCTTCTCCCTAGCAGGTGACTAAGCTGGTTCACGGCGCAAGTGACACAAGTAGAAGCTTCAGGTTTCCAGGGATATTTCTCTAGTCCTTCAAGGTGTTGATGGCTGTGATTCCAATGCTACTTCCTGCTGTAAAAGCCTATGATTCCCCCAGCAACTGTGTGTGAACCATCACATCCTGTGAGGAGCTTGGAGAGAGCAAAGCTCTCTTCAGTTTACTGAAAATTGGAAAACTGATTTCTAGAATGGCCAAATACTTTCAACTTTCTGACAGGAAAGAGGAATATATTTTATAAAAAGGCATCACGTAACCCTAGAGGCTTCAGGTGTAGAACTTTTTACAAAATAATAAATTTCATGATGCTGTCAAGGTCTTAAGTGATCTTTTGCAAAAACAAGAAAAGGCATCAGAAGAAAAAGGAGACAGCTGGTCATATAAAGAGAAAACTACACTGCCATAAATAACTTGGCTTAATTCTTCTGCAGGATAAGGTGTAGTTTAAGCAGAAAAAAAAAAAAAAACTTTTGATATTGAATGATAGAAAAAGCAATAAAACACATATTTCTGTAACAAAATCCAACCCAAATAAAATTTAGTAGACCTTTTAAGGGATACATCTTTTTTCTTTGCTTGTTTGTTTTATAATGTTTCTTTCCACTTTTCTCCAAAAAAAAAAAAAAAAAAAAAAAAAACAGGTTTTAATGCAAGTTTTAGGGCAGAGGAAAATGTTTCTTCAAACTAATTTTAAAATAAGCATATTTTTGGATTTTAGAACCTTAACCTTTTTGATTGAAGTCTTTAAAAGCCATGATTTCTGAACATAGAGGCATATTCTGGATAACGTTTAAAGCATTAATATCTAAAAACTACCTGTAGAGCTTATGGCTATAAACTACTGAAACAATTTGTAAGTCCCACAGGAAAATCAATGTCATTACCTCAGCAACAGAACTGTATGTCTCCAGTGAAGAAAATATTTTATGATAAACTCTTCTGTACAATCAGGACATAATTTATTGTCAAAATGAACACAGAAAGCCCACAACTTATGATGGTTCACTTATAATTTTTCAACTTTATAATGATGTAAAAGCAACACACGTTCAGTAGAAAGTATACTTTGAGCACCCACGCAACCATCTGTTTTTCATTTCCTGTACAGTATTCAATACTAGCACAAATCATCACAAATCACCTAGCACAAATCTTGTTTTATAAGAAAGTGTTGACTATCTGGCTGATTATAGGCTCATGCTTATAATCCCAGCACGTTGGGAGACCGAGGCAAGCAGATCACTTGAGGTCAGGAGTTTGAGACAAGCCTGGCCAACATGGTGAAACCCCGTCTCTACGAAAAATTCAAAAATTAGCTGGGTGTGGTGGTGCAATCTGTAATCCCAGCTATTCAGGTGGCTGAGGCAGGAGAAACACTGGAACCCAGGAGGCGGAGGTTGCAGTGAGCCAAGATCATGCCACTGCACTCCAGTCTGGGCAACAGACTGATTTCTTATGCCCCTTGAAAAAAGAGAAGTTCGGGTCACATTGGGTGTGGTTTGTTAAGGTGGATGCCTCCTGGGTGCTGTGTGCAGAACCCCACAGTTCCCTGGCCCAGCTGCCAGTCACAGCTTTGTTCTTCGTGGACAGGACCTGGGTGCCCCGTTAGCATGGGCAGCCCTCACCCCTCAAAAAGATTTTTAAATTTTCCCAGGATCCTGTTCCAGTGGTTCTGATCATAGGGATAGATGTTGAACTCTTGTTTTTATATTTTTTACACCCTGATTTTGTGTGCCTAATGGATATTTCCAATTCTGTGTTCCAATGGCATTTGATGAGCAGCATACCTAATGTAAATTCAAAATAGTGCGACATTTTGGAAGATTGTTTGTTATGAGTAGTGAGGTGGACTCCACGTGTGGCCAGGGAGAATCATCGCCTCCAACGAGTCTTTCTGTCTCTGGTTTGCTGGTGGTCATCCCCACTGCTGGGCAGGACTGCCTTCTAAAGAGCTGTTCAGATGCTGTCACTTCCAAATCCCCAAACCCAGTAACACTACAACAATAACAACAATAAAGACGTCTGCTTCTTTTTTCCTCTCTGTGAAAACAGAAATGAGCACTGAATAATCTGTAATAATGATGGATTTTGTCATACATGATAGGACAGTTGAATGTCTTCCTTTCTGCCCTGTCTTCTTGGCATTATGCAATCAGATGAAGGTCATCAAATATTTGAATGACCCTGAAACCAGAGGTGATTGAAACCTTCCCCCTAATTTCTACCTCCCTTTTGTGGACATTTAGCATATCCCTTTGCTTTGCACCAAAATCGACGTACTCTTCTGCTCTTGAATTCGAAGCATCTTGAATTAAAATTACTGGTGTCTCTTAAATAGATCAGGATTATTGTAAAAATAATAATGTTATAGTTGTTAAAGACTGACTCTTTGTTTAAGGAAACTTTATGGAAGGAAATTTTCTTAGCCACTGAGTGTAAAGGATCAAGCATGCACTCTTTCTCCTATATATAGTTGCAAATCTCAATCTTGATTATTCAGACATCAGCAGGGTAAAATTGCATTGTGAATTTAAGAATGTATTTTCCTCAATAGAAAGCATCTCAGACTCCACGTTGATGGGAAGACTTAGCAAAAGTCATACATTCATTTGAAAATTTAATTTAATTTCTTTTTGAGAAAAGGAAACATTCAAAGTTTGGTGGAAATAGAAGTGAAGAGACCATGTGGCCCCTCAAGTTTCCAGCTCTCCTTTTTACAATTGTCAAAATTTGCATCACGATATGAAGAGAAATATGTTACTGTAAGACTGTCTTCACAGATGGCCTTAAAATATTGCCTCACATAAAAGCAATATATAGCTCTCAGTACCGCAGAAGCTAAATCTTCATTTCCGTCATCTATTTCTTTGAGTTTAAGAGCTTCTTTTGATGAGGTGATTATAATGATTCATTTCTGGAGTTTCTGTTGTGTGTGGATTTCCTCAAGAGCCTCATAACCATGCACCATCAGGAGTGTGGTCGGCAGTAATTCAGGAGCCCCCAGTTTTCTGTGGGCAGGAACAACTTTTTCTTTTCCCACGAAGTTGAAATCTTGGAGTTTGGAGGAAGTTGTCGGGAAGGTGGGTGGCTCTTGACGATGGGCTGGAATACGTTCTGGCTGTCAGGATTCTGCAAAGCACTCTGGCGGTGCCACCGGGTGGCCCCTCTTCCTTGGAGGTCTAGGTTGTGGCAGAGAGGGCAAAGAGGCAGCAGAGCATCCCATTCCTAGACGGCATCGGGGCTCACCAGAGAATCCAGTGTGCAGACTGGAGGCTTGGACTGACAGATAAAGTTGGGGAAGTCTGGAAAAGAAGAGCTTGAGGGACCGGGCATGGTGGCTCAATCCTGTAATCCCAGCACTTTGGGAGGCTGAGGCGGGTGGATTGCCTGAGGTCAGGAGTTTGAGACGAGCCTGGCCAACAGGGTGAAACCCCGTCTCTACCAAAAATACAAAAAATTGGCTGGGCATGGTGGCAGACTGAGGCAGGAGAATCGCTTGAACCCGGGAGGCAGAGGTTGCAGTGAGGCAAGATCGCGCCATTGCACTCAGACTTGGCAACAAAAGCAAAACTCTGTCAAAAAAAAAAAAAAATACTAAAATAAAAAGCTTGTAAGTAGGGAGGAACAAATAAGGTGATCGAACTTCAAGAAATCACAAATGAGTAACAAATAGCCCCCAATACAGACCCATCTTTCTTTTCCCCTTTGTCAATTCACAATCTCCTTTTTTCTCCCTACCCTTCAAGGAGCATTTAGCAAACTTGTTTATTTCATCTCTGTTGTAAGGCAGATGTACACCCTGTCTTGAGTTCTGTTCATTCCTTCCCTTTCTCTCTTGCAGGTTTTGATTTGGTAAAATGTGAGGATCCGGGCATCCCTAACTATGGCTATAGGATCCGTGATGAAGGCCACTTTACTGACACTGTAGTTCTGTACAGTTGCAACCCGGGCTATGCCATGCATGGCAGCAACACCCTGACCTGTTTGAGTGGAGACAGGAGAGTGTGGGACAAACCGCTACCTTCGTGCATAGGTGAGTGTGGAAGCCAGTCAGACTATTGTGCAAAAGCCGGCCTCAGGGTACTCATGCCTGTTGCTTTGACTTCCTTTATTGGAAAAGAGGAGGAATTTTATCACACCTTGCAGTGTGAGTTTTTGTATCCTGAGATTTGCATGTGTCTGTGAGTGTGTGTTTTCAGCAATGAAAGACAGATTTTCTAGTACTCTTTTATGGAGACTATGGGTACAGTGTTATTATTAGAATTATCACATGTGTGTCTTACTGCTTTATGCTCTCAACTTTAATTGCATGGAGGATAAAGGCTTTCCACAGAGGTTATGATTTGGAAGAAGTATTGAAATGATCAGGAGAGATAGATGATGGCGTTTCTTTTTCTCTATGTATATAATGCAGACATAATGGCTTTGGTTTTTAAAAGTAGCTAAATAGAAACGTGTGATGCCTGAAGTTGAACATTCCCATCTCTCTGTGTCTTCTACAGCGGAATGTGGTGGTCAGATCCATGCAGCCACATCAGGACGAATATTGTCCCCTGGCTATCCAGCTCCTTATGACAACAACCTCCACTGCACCTGGATTATAGAGGCAGACCCAGGAAAGACCATTAGGTACTTGTTTTATTTTGGTTTCAGTGATTTGAGAAAAGAGATATGCCTTCTATTCTTGTAGTAGAGATAGTGGTACACCAAATATCCGTGATTAAAGTATCTGAACCAAAGAAGAAAAGGTAAAGCTGTAGCTAAATGTTATGTTGGCTCGCTTACTTACTTTGCTGTTCCCTTGAAACCATTTATTAAGATATATATAATGAAGACAAAATGAGAGTGTCTCAGTTAGCTTCTGCTGCATAACAAACTATCCCCTAAATTTAGTAGCTGAAAAAAAATCATGACTTTATGGGTTGCCTGGGCTGTTCTGATCTGGGTGAGATTGACTGGGGATGAGTAGTTCTGGATGACCTTCCTTAGGTGTGAGGGCCTCAGCTGGGATGGTTGGGAAGGCAGGAGCCCCTCCATACAAGGCTTCTGTTCCTGCAGTAGGCTAGTCAGGATGGGAAGGTTGTAGCAGCAAGGGATGACAAACTTCCAACTTCTGCTTACATTACACTTGCTAAGGTGCCCTTTGTCAAAGCAAGTCTCATGGGCTAGGCAAGACTCAAGTTATGAAGAAATAGATTCCACTGCTCTTTTAATAGGAAGAGAAGCAAAGTCATATTTTAAAAAGGCTTGTGTACAGGGTGGGAGCAGTGTGTATCATTTTGCAATATACCAAATTAACTTTGAGGTAGACCAAGAAAGTACTCTAAAGTAACACGTATAAAAGAAAATCATTGCAAATTTCAGAAAATGATGCGAACATTTAAACAGTGTTCTACTCCAATAGTGAGTTCTGAGTTATTACGGTGAGTTATTTAAATCAACAAGAATTAATATTTTAAAGTAAGCTCTTGGTGATCTAGTCTGAAATCTGTCTCCGAAACCATAGCACGTAAGGCAAAAGGTAATTTTAAAATAAGTTTTATGTTTAGTTCTTGTTTAAAATGAAGAGGACACACAGTCCTAAGCAATACTTTTTAAGATATATTTTTCCTTCAATTAACCTTTCTGTTTCTTTGTTGTTGTTATGAATTCTCTGTACAAAATTTGCTTTTGAAAAAATCTGACCTCCAATAGCCTTAATCTGCATGTCCCAGGTCTCTACACTCCTTCGTCATGCTCTTATACCCACCAAAGAGTAAATGAATTGGCCTGGCTGCTTCAGTTCCTCCTTCACATATGTGAAGCTGAAAAACAGTAACAGGTCAAAGTCAGGCTGGGCACAGTGACTCATGGCTATAATCCTAACACTTTGGGAGGCCAAGGCGGGTAGATCACTTAAGGTCAGTAGTTCGAGACCAGCCTGGCCAACATGGCGAAATTCCATCACCACCAAAAATACAAAAAGTATCTGGTCATGGTGGCACACACCTGTAATTCCAGCTACTCAGGAGACTGAGGCAGGAGATGTGGAAGGATGAAAAATATTCATAAACAGATGACTTTTGTCTTTATTCACAAAAGCCACCCTATCAAGCTTAGTAATGTATATTACATAGATATCATAGACTTCTTTCACTGCAACTGTATAACTTAACAGAAATAAAATGGGATGAAGTGGAGTGAGAGAAATGCATATTCTGTTACATGATGCCGTTTCTGCACATCTGACATCTGAGGCCTTTGAAATTCATGTATCTCACTATTTAGTCACATTAACAACTTGGGAGTGAGTTGAATTGATGTGGCACAAACTATTACCACTTATAGACCCTATGTAAAAAAGATTCTCACTACATAAAAGGAGCAAGAAGAAAAATTAAAACATATCTAGAATGCAAACATCTTAGGATGGTGCTTCTGCTGCTATGATAGAATATTACAAACTAGGGGGCCGGGTGCGGTGGTTCATTCCTGTAATCCCAGCACTTTGGGAGGCCAAGGCGGGTGAGTCGCAAGGTCAGGAGATCGAGACCATCCTGGCTAACACGGTGAAACCCTGTCTCTACTAAAAATACAAAAAATCAGCCAGGCGTGGTGGCGGGTGCCTGTAGTCCCAGCTACTTGGAGGCTGAGGTGGGAAAATGGTGTGAACCTGGGGGGCAGAGCTTGCCATGAGCCGAGATCATACCACTGCACTCCAGCCTGAGCGACAGAGCGAGACTCCATCTCATAAAAGAAAAACAGAATACTACAGACTTACAGACTGGGTAATTTATAAAGAAATAAAGAACAGAAGTTTCTTTTCCTAACATTTCTGGAGTTCTGGAGGCTGAGAAGTCTAAGGGCATGACATTGGCATGTGATGAATCCACATGGTGAGAGCATCACATAGCCAGGAAGTACACAAGAGACAGAGAGGAAATGGGGCCAAGCTTAATTTTTTTTCAGGAGTTCACTCCCACTGTAGCTGACTCACTCCCATGATAAAAGCATTAATCCCTTCATGAGGGCCCAGTTCTTTTGACCTAATCACCTCCTAAAGGCTCCCACTTTCAATATGGCTACAATGGCAATTAAATTTCAGCATGAGTTTTGGTGGAGACAGGAAAACCACAGCACATACTATTTTATAATAACTCATTTTAAAATTAGTGTGTGCCCTTAAGATAAATAATTTGATGATTATTGATCTGTTGAACACTAAGGTATATCTAAGTAACAGAATTTAATATTTCATATTCCTCATGAAAATCAATAAAGGCATGTTTCTGTGGAAATAAATAGTCCAGGCATAGTGGCTCACACCTCTCATCCCAGCACTTTGGGAGGATGAAGCAAGAGGACGTCTTGAGCCCAGCTGGTCAAGGCTGCAGTAAGCTATGATCACACCACTGCAGTCTTAACTAAATAAATTAATTAAATTAAATATTAGTCCTTAACTTGGAATTCACAAATACTAGATTTGAGCAATGTAAAAACCACTCCACTGGCTTTGATTTTGAAAAGTTGTAGAAATCATCTATGATAATGGAGTGACTTTATATAAAAATAATTTGTCTTCTTTTAGAATTTCACATTTTTGTTTTTCTCACAATTTCCTTTGTGCTTTAATTTACTGGAATTAGAGTGAGCACCGTCTTTCTCTAAATGCAAACCAAGTGATGGATTCACTCTTTGCAGGTGAATCTAATAATTTGTTAACATTTTAATAAAAGAAAAGAGAAAATAGGCCGGGTGTGGTGGCTCATGCCTGTAATTCTAGCCCTTTGGGAGGCCAAGGTGGGTGGATCACAAGGTCAGGAGATCGAGACCATCCTGGCTAACACGGTGAAAGCCCGTCTCTACTAAAAAATACAAAAAATTAGCCGGGCGTGGTGGTGGGCACCTGTAGTCCCAGTTACTCAGGAGGCTGAGTCAGGAGAATGGCAGGCACCCGGGAGGTGGAGCTTGCAGTCAGCCGAGATCATGCCACTGCACTCCATCCTGGGCAACAGAGCAAGACTCTGTCTCAAGTAATAATAATAAAAATAAAGAAGAGAAAATAAATGAATTTAAAAAGATTTGAATTAATAAAAAATGTCCAGTTTTTATAGCATGAACTGACTTTGAAAAATTTTCTTCTTATACATATTTTTCAATATGAGGGTATACACTATCAAATTTAGAAGTACATCTATTAAATTTAAAGCATAAATTTCTTCCCAACAAGCAAGTTAAGAAGGTGGCATCAAATATTTATCATGGATTTCCTCAACTGACATTCAACTTAATCCCAAAATGTTTTCGATGATTGAACCACTCTTCATTAAGAATATAAATGCAATGTTTAGTATGGCGATCTGGAGAAACCATAATTAAAAGTACATAATATACTAAAATCATATATTATGTACTTAAAATTGTACTAATACTCAGAAAAATGGTGTCTGGTCTTAACCTTGATATTAGCTGGCATGGTTTCTAAGTCTTAATTATTTCAATGGTAATATAGTCTATATTACTTCCAATGTTAACTTGAAAATGAGGAATACATCAGTCATATACATACGAACACGGGGATTAATTTAGCTATTTAAAATGTCTTAATATAAATATAATCATTACTATGCATTTATACTTCGATATCTTAATGTAAATATTTTTCACTCTCAAGGAATGAATAAACAGCAGGAAAATATGAAAAGGCTGGTTTCAATACTTTAGGCCAATTATTGCAGGACTACATTGATTTCATTGAGGCCCAGAGCAATTTCTGCTTATATAGTGCTATTCTTCTTTGTTTGAGGTAATAGAATGCCCCAAAATAGTTATTATTATGGGGCTGGGGCTGGAAGAATTTGTAATTTTTAACATATATGCTATAAAGCAGTTACCTGAGCCAAATTTAATTAAAAGTCTAATCACAAGACATTGTAGAAAATTTAGCCCCATTGAAAGTTATATGGTAACATTTCTCTAAGAGATCCAGCATATTTCACTGCTGGGCACAGCCATGCTTTATATAACAGAAGTAACAGCATTATAAACTTCTTCAGCTAGCAACATTAAAAGCGATGTTTTACATAACCATGTGTGTACATTGTTCCTAAGTTTTAATTGCTTTTCTGCCAGTGTAATTGTCTGGAAAGCTCACTTTGAATGTATTTCTGTTCCTAATTGTTAGCAGGAAATTGCATTTGGTAGTATAGTTGAAGGGAATTATTTTTAATAAGCTCACACAGTATGAAAAACATTGGAGGCCTATCAAAAATGTATCAAGGTTGTCAAAAGCATTCCTGTGCAGACTTTTAGAAAACATAATATGTGGTTTGACGACCCTGGTGTTCTGCTGGCTGTCCTGCCCTGGATTTTCTTTCTGGCAGCATCAGGTTGTAGAGAGATTAGAGTGAAACCTGCATTGGAGATCTAGGAATATTAATCTACTTCTGATCAATCTTCCAGATCCCAGTAGGAAATATACCAACAGGAAAACTACACATTTATCCCCAGTCTCCATGTCCAGCCTCTGTATATAGACCATGGGTGGGAGAATTTTCCTGACATGACAGACAGGTATGGGGCCAGTCAGGAATAAAAGCATCTCCAATTTCTCCATTCCTGTCAAGATCACTATAGACCTTTCCCTTATT